TGCTTCTGAAATTCAGATGACCAAATCTTCTGTGCCACAACTCACCCTCCTTGACAACACTTGTTGTACTAAGGTATTCAGAGTCCGCAGTTCTAACATTCACCTTGAATATTCTGTTCCTTTCATGTTCTGACTTCATAATCAGCTTCTGATTATAGTAATACAACTTTAGAAGATTATCCTTCATGGTAACCGAAAAACCTTTCTCAACCAGTTGTCCCACACTTATCAGATTGCTTTGCATGCCAGGTACATACCATACATTCTGGATCACTGCTGCTTTCCCATTGTTTAGAATGATTCTGACATTCCCATACCTACTGCATTGAGGTATTTATCATCAGCACATCTGATCTTTGTACTCTTCCCAGAATCAAAATCAACCAACCATTTCTTATTTCCAGTAAGATGGTTTGAACACCCTGTGTCCATAGACCACAATTTTGATGAATTCATATTATCAGATTTAGAGGCCAACAATAGCACAGGTTCATCATCAAACTCTCCTCTGACTATATTTGCTTCTTGTGACTTCCTTTCTTTGTTTGACCAACAATCTTTGGCATAGTGACCAAAGTTATTGCAACAGTAACACTAAATATTCTTCTTTTCATATTTCTCATTTTCCTTCTGGACATTATTCTGCCTATCAGAGTTTGAAGCTTCTGACCTTTCACCACCATTATTTTTCTTCCTGGCTTCTAACCAAGTCTGTTTCTGATACTTCTTAACAGAAGTTACTTTCAGAGCCTGTTGCTCTACTTCCCTCTCAGAAGTTCTCGTAGTCATACGCAACTCATGTACCTCTAGACTACTTTGCAGATATTCAACTCTCATGGTGCTCAGATCTTTGGAATGTTCAATTGCTACCATAATGTAATCAAACTGAGAAGTTAAAGATCTCAAGATCTTCTCAATGATTACTTGTTCCGAAATGGTTTCTCTACAAGCATTCATCTCATTAGTGATTAGAATCACTCTAGAGATGTACTCAGAAACTTTTTCGTTGTCCTTCATGTTGAGATTCTCATTTTTCTTTCTGAGAGACTGAAGCTTCACCTTCTTCACTGATGCGTCACCACCGTAACATCTGACCAATGTGTCCCACCCAGCCTTTGCTTTTTCAGAATCAACAATCTTCTCAAACACATTCGCATCCACACATTGGTGGATGTAGAACAACATCGTCTGATCTTTCTTCCTTAGCGACTTCTGTGTCATCTTTTGTGCCTCTGTTGCGCCTTTATAGCCATCGGTGACAAGATCTACCACATCTTGAGAACCAAACAACACGCGCATCTGGATCTTCCAAAGATTCCAATTTTTGCCATCAAAAACTGGAAGCTTGGAATGGATATCGTCGTCGTTTCCATTCATCTTCTACCTTGTGTAATTTACGCAGAAACTCAATAAAGCAATGTTTCCCAAATTAAATAGATTCAGAATATTGTAATTCTCAATCACACAATACTTTTCCCGTGGGTTTCGAACCGGAGCTCTGATACCAATTATTAGTGCACAAAGAAGAGATGAAAGGCAAAAGAAATATATTTAATGACGGCTAAAAATAAGAAATAATAATTTACAATGAATTACATAGACCTACCTCATATGTTATTTATACACAAAATTAGAGTATAATAAAATCCTAAATATCCTCTAACAAAGATATAAAAAGATCTAAAAGAATATTCATAAAATATAAATTAATATCTAAAAAAATATTTCTAAAATATAAATTAATTCAACCAATATTAAAGTTATTAAATTTAACTTTATTGACTTTTAAAACATTTTACAAGGGCCTCAGCATATACTTAAGAGACAAATGTAAGTGATTCAAAAAGTGAAGAAAATTCAAATCAAGACATAATTAAGATGGAAGAAAACATCACTCAATTAAGAAGCATAACAATTCAGCATAACATGAGAGTCATACACATAAAGCACATATAGGGCAAGAAGAGTCATCAAACTCTACACATAACGGAAAATATGCAGAAGCAAACACAACATATCTAGAAAACTTAAGCACATTAGTTTACAGATACAATCCAAACTCACATGACAGAGGGGATTTAAATTCTCTATTTTAATATACCATTACCACTAAATTGATACTTCGTTGAGGGCATTACATGCTAGGAATTCCAAATAGTAATATTAAAAGCAGATTGTTATAGAAAATAATCTAAATTATTTTATAACTCAAATTTAGTTTTCACCTGGCAGCAGAAGCTTCATTGTCCAAAGCAAATTTGATCAGCTCTTCACTTTTGCATACTTACAACTTCTGATTCTGTGAGTTAGGAAATTTGTAAAACCACCAAATCAAAATTAGTTTTCATGTGTAAATCTTCAAATGAGACAATATGAATTATGGTTTAATCGAATTAAAATGTTCTATACCTCTATCTAATGCATGGTATACTATTTTCATTCTCCTTATCGGTTCTGAGAGATTTCATATGATTATCTATCTCCTTATCATCCAATGGTCTCTCTAGGCTCTTACAGAAATTTGCACATCTTGAATATCATTGAACTTCATCTTATTAGAATCAAATCCTAATAATCATTGAGAGAATCTTTAAGAAATTCCTTCTTTGGAGAATGATTTGAACTATACTTCAACCATCTTGTGTTGTGTCTTCAATGTTCATAGTCACATTTCAAACAAATTTATGTTCTTTCAAAGATATTGCCTGCAAACAAAATAGGTTTATTTTGTAATAAAGAATAAAAAACATTAAGCAAGAGAAAGCGAGAGTATAAAACACACACCCGCACGTAAAATAAAGAGAAAAATAAGCCTAGATGGATTCTATTAAACCTTATTGATACCTATTGTTTAAGCACAAGCTTGTGTCATTGGTAACAAGAGATGTGGCAACTGGTGCAGCAAGGCTAGATAAGCACCGTCTGGTGACAATGAGGTAGTAGACGATGTGAAATAACTAGTATTTAGTATTTATTATTATGATGAGTGATGACATTGTTTTCATAATGATGGTGGTAATTGAAAATATAACAAAACATGATACTCTAGTATAGTATTTATAAATAAATTCAATTTACCTCACTAAGCTTTGCGGGAAGCTCGTCAAGCAATTTAATGTGAATTTTAGACTTCCTCAATGCCTGCAACACCTGTTTCCTCTAAAAAATATGCCCCTTGGTTTATTTCCATTTTCCTCTTAGATTTATATAGATGCTTGTATTTGTAGCTCATCAACTCACTCAGATAGCCTTAATAGCCTCAACTTAGCGATATTATCTGTATTTAACAGTCAATTATTAATTTTATATCTTTAAAATAACCCGTAATTCTTATTTTTATACATGCTCAAACTCTAGCAAAGGTCACAAACATCAACAGAGTTATAAAGCACGGACAATTGGTGTCTGACACGGGTACTGACATAATACCATTTTTTAGAGACTTCGATGCTACATAGCAACAAAGCATTTCATCACTAGATAGGTTTTTATCAAAGTTCAAATATATGAAAATTATAAACATTGAACAATGTTAAGAAATTGATATATATATATATATATATATATATATATATATATATATATATATATATATATATATATATATATATATATATATATATATATATATATATATATATATATATATATATATATATATATATATATATATATATATATATAAGGAATTGAAGTGGAGGAAAGAGAGAAATACAGTTAGAGTGAGAGAGAGAATGACACCTTTAGTTCAGGTGGTTTGTGCTTCTTTATTAAGATTGTGAAGATGAGAATATAGGTGTTATGTGTTGATTGACAGCGAATCACGGTTTTTGATTTTAGAGACTTTGAGTTAAGGTGTGATTTTTTTGTAAATTTTGAGTTTGTGATTTAGGATTTAGAAGAAGCAGTTGAAAGAATTAGTTTACAAAATTTCTATGTTTGGGAGATAAGAGTTGAAATTTTTAGATTATATTAGTTTAGAAAATTTTTATTTTTGGAATGGAAGAGTAAAAAGTTGAAAAAAATTACAACGTCTTATAAAAAGTATAAACATAGGTTAAAACTATATCCGAACAGTTTATGTATTTTTTATTTTATTGAATATAAGAGAACGGTTTTAAATATATAATTATATTAAAATAATTTAAAATTATATAAGAATGATTTTTATTTATTATTAAAAAAGAGAATAAAAAATATTTTTCTTTATCATCTACAAGAATGTTTTTCAGCCATTGCATATCATTTGCCAAAAATATTTATCCTCCTGCAATGAAATATTAAATTTGTTGTCTATTACATTTACAAGAACAATTTTTTTACTTCACAAAAATTAAGCATTGTCGTAGAGTCAAATATTATAGCCTAAGGGGTTTATATTGAAGGTAACTAAAAATTTTAAGATCATTTGCTCGTAAAGTAGTCCAGTAGTTGAGATGTCTCTACAATAAGTTTTTACTGGATACAATATTTACTTTTATGTCGGGTACAAAACCGAGATAAAAATTTAATCTTTTCTCACTTAATAAGTGTTTTTTATACTAGTGTCGCCTCCATTGAGCTAAGCTTTTTGTCTATCCATTATCAAGCTTCTCGATAATGGTGATCTTTGCATTACAAAAATGAAGACTACAAAATTATTAGCATGCAGTCGGAGGATTTACATAGTTGAGAGAGACTTCAAATATGATAGCCATTGGAGGGAGTCTCCCTTCTCCTTTTTTCCTTCCCCTTTTCACGTTCATTCTATGCTTTTGAGAGGAACATAAAACTTTTGAGAATGTCGGTCATTAAAATAAAAAGGCTTAAATTATATAAGCAATTACCATGAAGTTTCCTTTCATTAAACAAATAAGAAGTTACCAAAATAACCTTGCTATTAAACCATATTACCAATGTATGCCCTTTTACTTAAATGTATTTATTTTTAAATTTTATTGATAGAAGCCAAAATGATAATAATATTCGTACATTAACTTGTACAGAGGTACAGGGCTACATTAGAGTGTATTTATTTGGCAACAACATAGATGTCCTTGACAACTTCCACTTTTTAAACCTCGTCGTCCACATCTCTGTAAACAACTTTCATTAGATAATGGACATTCTGGTGTGTCAAAACAATCAGTCGTGATATCATCACTCATAATTTCTTCATATCTTCTTGCACCACCTACAATCAATACAAAATTTTTTATATTGAGAAGGTGTTGTGGCATCAATTATTTTTATAAAATAATAAAAAATTATGTAGAGAATAAATAAGTATGTTACCTGGATGCAAAACTAAAGCAATACAAAGAATTGCAATGAAAAAATATACTCGGTTGATAGCCATGTTTTCTGAAAAGATGAATGGACAAACAACACCCGTAAAGTAATTATTTGTTGAATCTTCTACATATATTTATATAACAATTATGTTTGACTGTAATAAATAAAATATATGAAACAAAGAATATATTTTTAAAAAATGAATTTACTTGATAATAAAGAATAAGTTTGTTTTGGTCTTGAAAAACAATTTTTTTCTTTCTATTTTTAAAATGATTTAAATAAAAATTTCATTTAAAATACTAAAAAAATATTTAAAATGTTTTTTTAATTAAAATAATTAATTTTAATATTATATAACATAAATTTATATTATATAATGATACTAATAGATGAAATCACAAACAATTGTATCTTAAAAACCATTTCTTCAAAAAGTTATTCAAAACAACTTCAAAATTAGTCTTGTAAATCAAATATTTTCTTTGTATTTTTAAAATGATTTTAATGAAAGTTTTATTACAAATACAAAACAATTTTTTTTTGTAACATTCCATTTTTTCTAAGCATGTATGTGTATATATTTGAAATGCTAAAAAAAATTAGTAGCTAGTTAGAACTAAAGGAATTACTTAGAATATGACTAGATGACGAATTTATAAATATCACTTAGTTGAAGAGCACTTTAAACATTAAACATCTTGAATGCAATTATACGGTCTTGTTTGGTAAATGGACATTCCAAATCATATATTTGATAGTGGAGTAGAGAGAGAGAGAGAGAGAGATAAGGAGGAGAAACTTATGTTCATCATCTCCTTTGCCATTTCCACACACTTTGAAAAGTATCCACTAAGCAGGTAATATCTGTTTACTCATAACTCTATTTGAGTTGATTCCAGACTTTTTGAAAATCTTACAAAATTCCTTACGTTTTGCATATACATTTTTCATTATGGATGTTTGTGATCAAGGAGATAAATGAGTTTGATGTTTGAGAATTCTTGCTGAAATGAGGGGAAATGGTGTTACAGGATTGATGGTGATTGAAGTAGAACTTTGATTAAGATAGGAATTCAATGGAAGCATATTCATCTTTCTAATCTACTTTGATGCAAGGTGAGTTCCATTATATAGGAACTTGGGGTAGGAATTGGGAATAATGCATGTTAGCATATGATCCCCTTGTAGTACTTGTATGCATATGTACCCTTATTACGTTCAATATGTTGTTGATTACTGCTTGCATATGGAAAATTAGAGTTTTGGAACCAAAAGTACGTAATATACGTTTTCTGGTTTTCTCAAAAAATTGTAGGTCGCGCTTAATGCGCAGAATGGCTATTAGAGCTCTTTATCAGAAATTGAGAAAAATAAAAGCTACAGGTCGCGCTTAGCACGAGTCTGTCCGCGCTTAGCGCGAAAACTGATGCCTCGTGATTTTGAACTTATTCATGGAGTGTAGTACCATCCCGCAATGATAATCAGACGCATCCTTAATCTTCTATGACTTCTATGATCATGGTATGAGCGAAAAAGGCCTTAGAGAAACCACTTAATTCTACACTATTAATATGAGTTACATTGGAAACATATAAAATGATAAATGAAAAGGACACATACACACACACACACACACACACACACACACACACACACACACACATATATATATATATATATATATATATATATATATATATATATATATATATATATATATATATATATATATATATATATATATATATATATTTGTGTGCATATATGTTATGTTATGATCCATATGTCAATTATATGATTATGTACGAATGATAAATGGCACATATTCATAATACATGTTATGACCCCTTATGTCACTTGTGTAATTATTCGTGCTTAAGAAATGCATTATGTAGGGTTCTATGTTGTGATCATTCAATTACATGCTTTATGAAAATGAATGATAATACATGTATATGATGAAAATGTATTATTTCATAAATGATATTGTCTGATTATTTGTTAGTTCCCATTTTTTCTGGTTGAATGTTCATAAGTAATTGCTATGTGGCTTGATATGTCGTGTTTATTATACTGTGTTGTGTGATCTCGATAATCTACCGTGATGTGTGATCTCAGTAGATGTATTCTTGAATTGAAGTAGACCAACTACTAAGACGTAAATCACTTATGACCTCGACTAATATTGTGTGGTCTTTATTTTGTGCCTTGCTATATGGTCTGAGATACCTTGTTATGTGGTCTGGGTATGTCATACACACCTGAGCTACTATTGTGATGCGCTTGTGTGAGTCCATGAAAGGCGTTTCCACCAGTAGTTAATAATATTGTGTGCTTGGTATGGTAAGGTTGTGATGCCATGTAGGAAATATGACTTTGTGGATTACTAAATCACCTCTAATGGTGCCACGTAGGCAAAACTGTTAGCCTTTCAGCTGGTGGGCTCGTGTTCTCAAGATGGCGTTTTTGCACCGGAGGATTTTAATCACATGTATTTTGTTGATTGACTGGGTTATGACGCCACATAAGAAATGTCACCGTGTTAACTTGTCACAGATGGAATTCCATTTAGGAATAATCAGATTCATTGTGTTGTGAGTGGTGCAAGTCTCCTAACACGATGCACGGGTGTAACTCACCAAGGGTGTGATAATGTAACCTGGTTAGGGGCATTAACATACTTCTAAATTCCTCGTATACGAGTATGTGTCGGCATACTTGATTTTATTTAGATATGTGTTTTCTTAATCTCATTGGGATGTCAAGGGACTACCAATGGAGATTTCCCCCTTTGGGTACTTGCACCTAGCCGTGAGGCAACCCCTGATTTGCAATGAATCCATTTTGATGCATGCATCTTTTAGAAATGACTGAACCCTTAAGATAGGGGAACTCACTGAGATTTAGTAATCTCACCCCAATCCTCTTATTATTTTCAAGAACATATTATAGGTAGAAGAATTACTAGATGGTTGGTTTTGAAGATTGCGGGCGAGTAGATGGCGCGAAGGCCTCATCAGATTTTATCTTTCTTCTATGCATTGTTGAGGATAAGTTGATTTTATACATTATGATATTCGAGTTGTGTTGTATACGATTTTAAATTTCTTGTCTTTTTCCAGCTTTTATAGATGTTTTGTGTACCATTTTTAGCATTGCTGCATATTATTTTATACATATATCTAAAACGTGTTACAATTAGTATCACAACAGGTCGATTCTTGTACATGCAATGAAACATCACTAGTAATTCTCTTCTACATCATATGTTTGTGTGTTGCTAGCCCGATTTCTACTATTGTAGTATTTGGTCATTGAGCCTGATCACCTCACTGATTGCATATTCGATGCGTAAGATCCGAAGCAACTTAATTTAATGTATTAGAAGCCGATTGAATTGAGAAAATGTTGGGTCTGTTGAGCAAAGATGGATCTTTTGACGCAAAATGATTGAAAACCTAACTTTCATGGAGAGATTTAAGACAATTGGAATTCCCAAAGCTTTGATTGGACGAAGTGAACTTCTTTTAGGTCCCTGTAGCAGTGGAGGAAATTCACGAGGCACTTGAGTAGAATTGTAATAAGGGAATTTTGTAATGGAGTGAAGTTTGAAACTATTAAAATTCATGACTTAACCCTGAATGCCAGTGATGTGTATGACTTAAGAACCAGATGAACATAAAAGCTTTTGAGAATTTAAACAGGGAAGTCAAATCTTTCTGGTTACTCTAGTCTGGGTATTAGTTGGATGGACAAGGTGTAAGATTCTGACTTGATTTCGTGTACCCTAAGTGGTGAGTAGTCACTAGTAAAAGATTGAAAGAATGAGTGGAAGTGATAATCTCCAATTGGGAAAATCTTGGATGCCCGATTAGTGAAGGGACTACTCTATATCCGTTCTTGCCAACCTGTGATTGAGCCATAAAACTACACTTGGCATTGGGTAATTAGATGTATGGAAGCTAGTGTCTATCTGGAACATCAGTGGGATGAACGCAGTTGTGCCAGTTGTTTGGAACCATGGTATTCCTATATGGCGGAATTACCTTTAAAATCTCTTATGCATGTAATGTATGGGTAATTACATGCATGGCATAATTGTTCGAGCTGAATTCTTACCCAGTTGTATCTGGCTTGTTGCTTTCGAGCAAGTGGTGTTTTGATGCCATGTAGGGAATATCACTTCATGGATTTCTAACTCACCTATAATGGTGCCACATAGGCAAAACCATTAGCCTTTTGGCATGTGGGCTCGTGTTATCAAGATGGCATTTTTGGACCGGAGGATTTTAATCACACGTGTTTTGATGATTGATGGGGCCGTGATACCACATAGGCAATGTCACCACGTTAACTTCAATTTAGGAATGATCCAATTTTCCGTGTTGTGACTGGTGCAAGTCTCTTGATGCGATGCACGAGTGTAACTCACTAAGGGTGTAATAGTGTAACCTAGTTAGGGGAATTGACGTACTTCTGGATTCCTCATATACGGGTACGGGTCTGCATACTTGATTGTATTTGGATATGTGTTTTCTTAATCTCATTGGGATGTTAAGGGACTACAAATGGAGATTTCCCCCTTTTGTGTACTTGCACCTAGCAATGAGGAAACCCCAGATTCATAGTGAATTTGTTTTGATGCATGCACCTTGTAGAATTGAGTGAACTCTTAGGATAAGGGAACTCACTGAGACTTAGTAATCTCACCCCAATCCTTTTATTATTTTTTAAGAACAAGTTATATGTAGAATAACTGATAGATGGTCGGTTTTGAAGACTATAGGAGAGAAGATGGCAGGAAGACCTCGTCATATTTTATCTTTCTGCTATACGTTGCTGAAGATAAGTTGGTTGTATACATTATGATATTTAAGTTGTGTTGTATACGATTTTAAATTTCTTATCTTTTTACATCTTTTGTAGATTCTTCTATGTACCATTTTTAACATCGTTGCATATTATTCTAAACATATATGTACGGGGTGTTAAAATTGGTATTAGAGAATGTCGGTTGTTATCCCTGCAATGAAACATCACTAGCAATTCTCTTCTCCCTTG